GAGTGCTAACCAAGCCCAGCCCGACCTTCAAGATGACATGCGCGCCTTGCGAGAGGAGATGGCGGCCATCCGTAGACAGAGAGAAGCCGACGCCCGAGAACTGGCTGAGCTTCGTCGGCAAAATGCCGAGCTCCGAAGCCTAAACCAAACTTACGTGCCGTCAACTCCCACGCTCCAAGAAGAGTCGGCATATCACGTCCCGACCGACCACATGACCCGAACGCCAGTCACGTCTCTAATAGGAAACAAGGCCGACACCTGTGTTCACTCTCTAAGACACCCCTTCTCGAGAAGGATCATGGAAGCAACACTTTTGGACCATTGGAAGAGTATACCGATTGAGAAGTACGATGGGTCAACCGACCCCGAGGAGCACTTGAATGTTTTCCTAACTCAAGCGACCCTCTCAACTCAAGATGACTCGGCTTTGTGCCGAATATTCCCCACGTCGTTGAAGGGAAGGGCATTGAGCTGGTTTACGAGGTTGCCGAGCTCCTCCATTGATTCGTTTAACGAGCTATCATCCCAATTCACCCTTCAATTTGCAACGAGTAAGCCGTACAGGACAACCTCGCTAGCCTTGGCGGGGGTTCGTCAGGAGAAGAAGGTTTACACATTTTTGGCACATGCCCTTTACCGGATCCAACCATTAGCCTTTTTGTTTTTGTTTTGCTTTTTGTTTTTCTCTTTTTTTATTTTTTTATTTTTTATTTAGTAATGGCTGACCACATACTTTCTTCTTCCGGATTAATCACCTTAGGACTCAATTTTGAAGAATCTGATTGAGTTAATTATTGAACGTGGAAGTAATAGAATTGGAATCATATTTATTTGATGAAGATTAAAGGTGTTAGAAAGTACATTTGAATCCAATCTCTTTCTCATATAAAGTTTTCTATTAAATTTATACTATTGCTTTTATTTTCTTTATTATAAATTTAAATCAACATTTCATTCATGTTCTCTGTAAACAAGAAAGGAAATTACTAGTATCACCAAATTCTCGAGGACGATATCAAATTACTACAACGAAACTTGGTCTGCTTGCCAAGAGTGAAAATTCCTCACCACAAGTCTAAGTAGCACACCTAAGCAATCAACTATTGTTGTCTCACTATAAGAAAAATGCAAATTACCGATGGATAATTTCTGACGGATACAAATAAGTTGAAAAAATTTATATTTTCAATGAAAAAAAATTGTAGGAGAAGTTATATTACCGACAAATAATTTTTTACAGATACAAAATCTATCGAAAAATTTATATTTTCGACTAATTTTACTGACAGATAATTTTTTATAAATACAAATTTATCGAAAAATTTATATTTCTGAAGGATTTTACCAGCAAAAAAAAATTCATGGAAAAGTTATATTATCAACAGAATATTTCCAACGAATTTATATTTGTCAAAAATGTAAGAATTTTTGACGAAAATTTTTGACAGATGCTTAAATGAAAATTTTCTGACGGAATGTTACTAACAGATAATGATTTGTCAAAAATTTTATGATTTCTGATAAGAGATTTTTTATGGAATATCTGTCAAAAATGGTTAATAATCTGTCAAAAATTTGATCTATAAAAAATGTTTAATATTCTGTTTGGTAATAATAAAGATGATTAAAATTGACAATCATATATTAGAAAATATCAATAAAATTTTAAATATGTCTATATATACTCTAATAAATTGTTACATAAAAAAGATTAGTAAATTATATATATATATATATATATA